AACCACTCGCCGTTCCGGGGCTGGATGCGGAGCGCTGCATCATCTGGATGAAGCCCACCTGACCTGAAAAGAGGGACGTGGCGGATGACTGTGCCGTGTACGGTGCAGTTGGGCAAGGCGGGGGCAGGGTGGTCGCGTAAACTCGGCTCCTCACTTCGAGGTGCCATCCACCAACGGCACCTTTCCCGCGCACCGGAGAATTCATGTTTGGCATTGCAGACTACGGCGCCTTTGTGGCCGCCATCGTGTTGTTCCTGCTCATTCCAGGCCCCGGCAATCTCGCGCTCATCACTTCCACCAGCAAGGGCGGAATCCGTGGCGGCATGGCCGCCACCATGGGAGTGATTGCAGGCGACCAGGTGCTGATGTGGGCGGCGGTGGCAGGCGTGGCCACGCTGCTGGCCACGTACCCAACGGCGTTCAACGCCGTGCAGTGGCTGGGCGCTGCCTACCTGGCCTGGCTGGGGTTCAAGATGCTCACGGCCAAGCCCGGTGCCCAGCCCATCCTGAACATTGAGCCGCGCCATTACTTCCGGCAGGCCGGGCTCATCACCTTGCTCAACCCCAAGGCCATCGTTTTCTACATGGCCGTTCTTTCCGCTGTTCGTCGATCCGGCACGTCACCAGGGCATGCTGACCTTTGGCGTGATGGCGGCCACTGTGGCGGCCCTCACGTTCCTCTATGGCCTGATCGCGGTGCTGCTGACGCACCACCTGGCCGAGCGCATGCGCGCCAACCCCAGCGTCGGCCGCATGCTGGAAAAAATCGCCGGCGTCTTTCTGATCGGCTTCGGCCTCAAGCTGGCCCTCTCCAAATAACGCCACGGCAACAGCAACAACAACACACGGACTGCAACACTCACATGGCCAAAATTTTCTGCGTTGCCAATCAGAAGGGTGGCGTTGGCAAGACCACCACCACCGTCAACCTCGCCTGCCAGGCCTGGCCAAGATCGGCCAGCGCGTGCTCGTCGTCGACCTGGACCCGCAGGGCAACGCCACCATGGGTTCCGGCATCGACAAGCGCAAGCTGGAGCTGACGGTGTACGACGTGCTGCTCGAATCCGCCTCGGTCAAAGAAGCGGCCGTGCTGTCCGAAAAATGTGGCTACTGGGTGCTGGGCGCCAACCGTGAACTTGCGGGCGCCGAGGTCGAACTGGTGGCGCTGGAGCACCGCGAAAAGCGCCTGAAGGCCGCGCTGGCCGAGGCCGATGGCGACTACGACTTTGTGCTCATCGACTGCCCGCCGTCGCTCTCGATGCTGACCCTCAACGGCCTGTGCAGCGCCCATGGCGTGATCGTGCCC